GCGGGGTCGGGGGGACGTGGGACTGCCCGAGGCTCCAGCCTAACCCCTGATGCTTTTCTCCCCACGCAGTGCTCGGCAAGGCCGTCCACTCTCTATCCCGAATCGGGGACGAGCTCTACCTGGAGCCCCTGGAAGACGGGGTGAGGAGATGGGGGATGGGACGGGATGGCATTCCAACAGGGAGCCCTAACCTGGGCTTGAGTCTCGCCTCCACCAGGCGGGATGCCCGGGACAGATTTGTCAGCTGAGTTTCAGCGTCCAACCCCCGGTGCTGGGACACCAGTTTGGGCCCTGTCGTTTCCCAGGCCTGTGTGTGGACTGAGGACAATTGCTCTCCCTGAAGTGCCAGGTGGCCGGTGGGGGTGGCAGGGGGGAAAGGCGCAGTGAGTTGGTGTAAGGCCCTGGTGGGAGCAGTGCTGAGGCCAACTCTGGGGAGGCTTCATGGAGAAGGTATCCGATGACCGGAAGGGGTCAGGATTTCAACAGGTGATGGAGGTGCAGGACATTAGGGCAAGTGTCACTGCCCTGACTGCGTTCCTCTCCCTGCTTTTCCTTGCCCAGCTCTCTCTCCGGACCGTGAACTCCTCCCGCTCTGCCTATGCCTGCTTCCTCTTTGCCCCGCTCTTCTTCCAGCTGTACCAGGCAGCCACCCCTGGTCAGGACTCACTGCGCTGTAAGATCCTGATGAAGGTGAGGTCCTTCCCTCAGCAGCGGTACTGCACCCCCCAGGAGCCCCTGCAGCAGTGCGGCTGCTCTGGGCACTCAGTAGATGCTGACTGGGGAGAGAGGTGTGTGCAGGGGCAGTCCAGTGCACAGTGCAGCGAGGAGCACAGTGAAGACATCTGCAGAGGGGAATGCAGACGAGGAGAGGGTGATCAACCCTACCAGGGACCTGGAGAGAGAGGTGACATTCAAGCAGGTGTTGCAAGGCATCCAGACAGGGAGCAGCATGAACAGAGGCCTGGAAACGTGTCAGTGACCGATAGTTGTGGGAGCTCCCTTCCTGGTGTGACAGTCCTGAGCCCATGATGGGCTAGGGCCCACAGGGGACGTGAGAACTAGTTGTTGGAGGCTCAGTGTTGGCCTGATGTGTCTCCCCCACCTAGTCGTTCCTGTCCGTCTTCCGCTCGCTGGCGATGCTGGAGAAGACGGTGGAGAAATGCTGCATCTCCCTGAATGGCAGGAGCAGCCGCCTGGTGGTCCAGCTGCACTGCAAGTATGGTGAGTGGGCAGCTGGCCAGCAAGGGGGCTCCTGGGGTGTGGGGGTGGAGGTTGGCGAGATCCTGAGACTCTGTCTGCCCGTCCAGGGGTGAGAAAGACTCACAACCTGTCCTTCCAGGACTGTGAGTCCCTGCAGGCTGTCTTCGACCCAGCCTCGTGCCCCTATCTGCTCCGGGCCCCAGCAAAGTAAGTACACCACCTTCCCGAAAGCTGAGCCCCAGGTCTCTGTCTTCCTTCTTTGGGGCCTCAAGGGTCAATTTAAGAAGGCACCGCTACCATTTTTCCTACAGGGTTCGTGTGAACCTCAGCAGTCAGCCAGCCCAGTTTGCTCTCAGGTCCTTGTCTGTCTCTTTAAGAGGGGGAGTAGAGGAGGGACAGGGGCTCCCTTGCTATAGGCTCCTCACTGTCTTCAGGAGCCTGTAGTCTCACCCAAGGGCCCAGCTTGTCTTTCTGGCCTGTCAGCCTTCTGGAGAGCAGGTCTCTAGCCTGAGCAGCCTTGGAAGTCTGTCGTCAAGCTTTGTAGCTCAGGGTCAAAACCCTTGTTTGGCTTGGTTATCCTTCTGGGGTGCTCCCCGCTCAAGGGCAGCCTCTCCCTACCTGCCCTGACTTTAGCCTTGAGTCCTCAGGTCAAGGCAGGAGGCTGGGTGGGGAGGTTGTGGGCCAGGAGGCCTGCCTAACAAGCAGCTCCAGAGCTGGAACCATCCGGGCAATCCGAGCCCCCAGGGACTGGGAGGCTGGGGCTGCAGTGGAGGCCCAGGTCCCTGATGAAGACCAGTGCAGAGGGTGGCTCCCTTCCCGCCCATGCTGGGTGCTGCTGGCATTCAAGTAGCCCAAGGTCTTGTTCATTTCTTTTAGGAGCCACAGGCCATGTAACTTGAAGGTCCCTTTGGGTCCTCTGTGGTTTCTGAGTTCTGTGTATGGCACTGCTCCTTTAGGTAGAGAAAGAGGGAAGGCGATCACCTCTGGACTGGATTTTGAGGCTATTTCTCTTTTTTAATGGGTAATTTTTTCTTTTTCTTACAATTTTAAATACATATAGAAGATGCCAGCTCCTGTCCCAACTGTCTTGAGGCTAATTCTAAATATTACTTCATTTGTAACTACTTTTTACCATGTATCCCTAGAAAACAAGGATGTGGGGTTCTTTTTGAAGGCCAGGTGGTAAGGATAGAATGGGTGTGGTGTCCCACCCCTGGATGGACAGGTGTTGCCTGCCTGGTATAGGCATCCTTCCTGCTGCGTTCTCTGGGCTCTACTCTTGTCTGTCCTGTCCCTTACAGTGGACTTTGCTGCCACGACAGCCTGGGAGCTTTTGATGGGGCAGGAACCATGTCTTGCTCACCCTGTCCTCCTTCCTGGGGCATGCTAGGCCTGGCTCGTGGCAATCCCCCTTCCATACTGGTGCGTGTGTCACTGTCCTGCCTCAGGTCCTCAGAGCAAAACCACTGGGTAGGGCCAAGCCTTCGGGGTAATGCTCTGCCCTCCTCACAGGCTGCTGGGGGAGGCTGTCCTGCCCTTCCCCCCTGCACTGGCTGAAGTCACACTGGGCATTGGCCATGGTCGCAGGGTCATCCTGCGAAGCTACCAGGAGGAAGAGGCAGGTGAGGGGTCTGGACAGGGCCTGGGATAGGGAATGATGGGGTGGGAGGAGCTAGGACCTATGGGCCCAGGTTTCTCTTGTTCCGGCCCCCACAGACAGCACCATCAAAGCCATGGTGACTGAGATGAGCATTGGGCAGGAGGATTTCCAGCAGCTGCAGGCTGAAGAAGGGGTGGCCATCACTTTCTGCCTCAAAGAATTCCGGGTAAGGTTCCCCCCATACCCTCACCATCCCATCCTCCCTGTCCTGCCCAAGGCCTCACTGCTCTGCTCTCTCCTCCCAGGGGCTCCTGAGCTTCGCAGAGTCAGCAAACTTGTCTCTTAGCATTCACTTCGATGCTCCCGGCAGGTAATTCCCAGCCTCAGGACAGGGAGGGGAGGGCTCTGGGGTGCCAGGAGCCAAAGGGCCCTTACCTTGTCTGGGACCCATCATCTGTCCAGGCCAGCCATCTTTGCCATCAAGGACTCTCTGCTGGATGGCCATTTTGTTCTGGCTACACTCTCGGAGCCAACCCCAAACTCCCAGGACCTGCACTTCTCAGAGCCCTGCCAGCCAGCACCTCAGTGCCAGGCCCACAGGTGAGGGTTTCCACGGGCCCACCCTCCCAAGTGGCTCCGAGCACCCTGGCCTGAGCCTGCTGCCTCCAGCTTCAATACCTCCCCTTCCATACAGACATTTCCTGTAAGGTCCCAGCCCCTAAAGTGCTTCCAGCTTCCAGCCTCACAGGCTCAGCCTTCCTGGTCGGCTGTGCTCAGAGATCCCTCCCACCCAGGGGAAGTGTCCCCAAGGTCAGGCTAGTTTCCTTCTCTGGCTGAGACCTCCCCACTGAGCTTCCTCCCAGACTAGGAGGGAAAGGGGGTTGCTGGAGGCTAGGGACTGCCTGGGGTGAAAATCAGGTGGCTGGAAGGGTAGGTGGGTTGGGGAGGATGGGACGAGTACAGTTTAAGCAGAGGAAGTTTAGTCTGGCCCCCTGCCCAGCAGGTCCCTGGGCCTTAGTGCTCTCCAGCTCCTATCCCCTGGGAAGGCGAGATATTGGGCCCAAAGTGGCCCAGCTCACTGGACTTACTATTCCCCTCCCCCAGCTGAGCTAAATGGGCCCCCAGGATGCCTCCCTCAGGCCCCTATTTGAACTCTGATCGAAAGATTCCAGGCCCAGCCCCTCCAGGAAGTCGCCACTTAACCCTTGTATCCTCTCTCCTCCAACCAAATAAGGAAGTAATAAAACTAAGAGATCACCAGTGGTCACAAGGTCCCCACACCAACCCCCACCACAGCTCTCCAAGGTGGGCTCTTTTCCTGTTTCTCACTGACATCATCTTTACCTGCAGCACCCCCCAGCCGGATGACTTTGCCAGTGATGACATTGACTCTTACATGATTGCCATGGAAACCACTGTGGGCAGTGAGAGCTCAAGAACACTCCCCTCTATCTCCCCCTCACCTGGCCTCCAGCCTCCCTGCAACTCCGAAGGGGAAGAAGATGAAGCTGAGGCTGAGCTCAGTACAGTGCCTGGGACCCCCCCACCCAAGAAGGTAGGGGCTGGGAGTGGAGGCAGAGGATGGGATGCCAGGTGGGAGCAGCCTCCACAACTCACTCAGCTTCCTGTTCTTCCAGTTCCGCTCACTGTTCTTTGGCTCCATCCTGGCTCCTGCACACTCCCCGCTGGGCCCCAGCCCTGTGTTGGCTGAAGGCAGTGAAGGTGAAGGCTGAACTGAGAACCTGGCCCATTGATCAACTTTTTCTGACAATCATGACTTGTCCCTCCTCCAAATCGGGGATGTCTTATGGCTGGCTGGCTGGCCTTGCTTTTTCAATATTTTTTGGCTCTGGCTGGGAATTCTAAGAAGGCCCTGTGGACCTTAACATGTGGCTGGGTCCCCGTGCCTGGCAAGCCACCCCTTGCCAGTGGCTCTGGGCAAATGAGTGCCAGGCCCACTGTTTGGGACAAGGGAGACAGGCCAGGGAAAGAATCCAGCTTTGACCTTTATTCAAGAGACCAGATGGGTTGCCCAGGATCCGGCTGCCAGCCCTGAGGCCAAGCAAGGCTGGAGACCCTCAATCTGGCCCTGCTTTGCCCTGAGCTGCAGCCTCAGCCCCAGGATCCTGCTTGCAGCCACCGAGGCACAGGCAGAGGGAGCCCTGGGGGCTTGGACACTGCGATTGATTCATTAAAAAAAGGGAAAAAAAACATCAAGGCTCCATGTTCCCTGTGACAGCAGGCCTAGGAAGTCAGCATGACCCCCCATGCTGCGTGGTTTCTGTACAATCCACCAGGTAGGGCAGAGGGCGGCACGTGGAGGCTATTTCTTGGCTTTGGCGGAGTTACGGGGCGGGGTGATGGGCCGGCCACCGGGGTTCAGGCCACTGAACTGCCCGTATTTCCCCTTGTTCTTGTCGGCGGGCTTGAGGATCTAGAAGAGACAACACGGGTCAGGCTCATGGGGCTGAGCCACGGGCCGCCAGCCCCTTCCTTCCCCATCCCCACCTGGAAGGAGCACATGAGTGTCTCGTCCACACTCATCATGGCGCCAGCATTATCAAACTCGCCGCAGTAGTTGGGAGCTGAGAAGAGTGTCACCAGCTGCCGCTTGGCAAAGAACTCATAGCCATCTTCTACCACCTGGACAAGGACGGGGCAGATAGTTAAGCAAGTGCTGGCTGCCCAGGGCCCTCTCCTACCTGGACCAGAGCCGCCAGCCCACCTGGTGTGCCCGGCAGATGAGGTCCAAGTCGTGCTTGTGTAGGAACTTGGCCACCACCTCAGCCCCAAAGGTAAAGGAGACACCACGGTCATTCTCGCCCCAGCCCTGCACGTCCTTATCAGGGTCAGACCACAGCAGGTCACATAACAGCCCCTGGTCAGGCACATCTGTGGGCCGCATGATACGCCGAATCTGCTCCATGGACTGTAGGTCGGGGGACAGACCTGGAGGACACAGGTGGCACATCACTTCCTCAAGCCTCAAAACAAGGATACCCCCCACCCCCAAAAGCCCTGGCCAATCAGCTTTTGCGCACGCATACACTCCACCACTACCCCCTGGCTCTCCTGGATTTTGGGAACCCAGACAGACAGAACTCATTACCTTCTGCCTCTTCTAAGTCCCTGCCTTCTAGGAGCACAGAGCTCCCTAGAGAAAGGAGCAAGCAAATTCCATGCATAACGCTGAAGCCACACCAGCGGAGAGTGCAGCCTAACACCAAGGAGCAGGGGAACATCCTGCAGTAAGTGACGTCCAAGCCCAGACCCCAGGGAGAGCTGTTCCAGGCGACTAGGAACAAGTCCTAGCTGACAGCTTCTTCCCATGAACTCCCTCAGCAGGCGCCCCGGAGCCGCCCTCACCTCCATGGCAGCAGAAGATCTTCTCGTCCACGATGGCTGCAATGGGCAGGCAGTTGAAGCAGTCGGTGAAGGTTTTCCACAGTTTAATGTTGTAGCGCCTCTTGCCTGCCCAGGGGAAGGAGAATGGCTCATGAGCGGGCCTCCAGGGCCTCCCAGACACAGCTGGGAGAAGAGCATGGGAGATAAGAAGGGAACCCCCACCACACACACACTGCCTACCAGCCTTCTAGGGGGACTTCTACAGTAGCTGAATCCACGGAACCCCAAAGTTCCAATCTGGAACAGTGTTGGGGTTAGCATCCACCCCCACCCTATGAGCAGGACCAGGCCAAGACAGGGTCTGGTTTATCTCAGCTTCTGGCCAGCAGAGTCCAGTCCAGATAGGTGTCCTAAGTGCTTAAGTAGGAGATGTACTAGAGGGAGTGTCACCAGACAGGGTTCTGCATTAGCCCTCAGTCAGCCAACCATTCACCACCCCTGTTGAGTGCCAGACCCCATGGCAGGGGGGCAGGGCTCTGCCAGACATGGATACCCCTACCACCAGGCCAACTGAATAGCAGGGAGAGTTCTTCAGGCCTTGGGCAGCCCCAGGCACGAAGCTACTCACACTCATCGTAGAAGCCGTAGATGCGGTTGATGCTGGCACACTCGTGGTTCCCACGGAGCAGGAAGAAGTTCTCGGGGTACTTGATCTTATAGGCCAGCAGCAGGCAGATGGTCTCCAGCGCTCTGGCCTGCCCAGGGGAAGGAGAATGGCTCATGAGCGGGCCTCCAGGGCCTCCCAGACACAGCTGGGAGAAGAGCATGGGAGATAAGAAGGGAACCCCCACCACACACACACTGCCTACCAGCCTTCTAGGGGGACTTCTACAGTAGCTGAATCCCAGGAACCCCAAAGTTCCAATCTGGAACAGTGTTGGGGTTAGCATCCACCCCCACCCTATGAGCAGGACCAGGCCAAGACAGGGTCTGGTTTATCTCAGCTTCTGGCCAGCAGGGGTGTGAAGAGGGGTGGATGTCAGGGCCAGTCCAGATAGGTGTCCTAAGTGCTTAAGTAGGAGATGTACTAGAGGGAGTGTCACCAGACAGGGTTCTGCATTAGCCCTTCAGTCAGCAACCATTCACCACCCCTGTTGAGTGCCAGACCCCATGGCAGGTGGGCAGGGCTCTGCCAGACATGGATACCCCTACCACCAGGCCAACTGAATAGCAGGGAGAGTTCTTCAGGCCTTGGGCAGCCCCAGGCACGAAGCTACTCACACTCATCGTAGAAGCCGTAGATGCGGTTGATGCTGGCACACTCGTGGTTCCCACGGAGCAGGAAGAAGTTCTCGGGGTACTTGATCTTATAGGCCAGCAGCAGGCAGATGGTCTCCAGCGACTGCTTGCCCCGGTCTACATAGTCCCCCAGGAAGAGGTAGTTGCTCTCTGGAGGGAAGCCCCCGTATTCGAACAGCCGCAGAAGGTCGTAGTACTGGCCATGGATGTCACCTGTGACCGAGGGAACCAGGTCAGCACTGGTGCAGGGTCTAGACTTGAACCCAGGGCCAGGGTTGGGCTCAAGATTAGAAGGATCCAGGGATTTGGGGGGCCAGTGCCGCCTTCAGGGAACAAAGGGGCCTGGGCAGGAGTCTCACCGCAGATCTTGAGGGGTGCCTCCAGCTCCAGAAGGATGGGCTGGCTCAGGAAAATCTCCCGGGATTTGAGGCACAGGCCACGGATCTCATTCTCTGTCAGCTGTACATTCTTCCCAGGCCGCGAGCCCTGCACTGGGGGCAGAACGGGCGTCAGGACCCTGGTCCCCCAGACAGGTGGAGGCTGGGCGACACGGGTGCCCCAAGGGCACTTCTGGGGGCGCCAGGCCCTCCTGGGCCCCTCCTTGCCCCGGACAGATGGTGCTGCTGCGCCTCCCAGGACACGAGGTAGCCTCCCAACTACCCACAAGGCGCTCCAAGGGACTGCTGTGCGCAGGTGCTGCCGCTCCAAACACCTCGGCTCAGGACCCTTGGGTGGGTTGGGGGGCTGTCTAGGTTTCTCCCTCGCTCCAAAAGGCCAGGCCAACCGTGCGCCCCAGGCCCAGGAGAGGGGGCTCCCCGTGCCCCAGCAGCCCCAGATCCCCCAAGCGCGTCGCGAGTGGGGGGGTGGCTGAGGCCGTGGGACCTCGCGGCCCGTCCCCGCCCGTCTAAGCGGCCCTGGGAGGGGCAGGCGCCCCCGCGCGCCACTTCCGGGCCGGGCCGGGGGTCAGGGCGCAGTGGGAGCCGACCTCCCCCGCCCGCAGCCAACCTTCCAGCAGGCGAC